CAGAACATGGAACTATGCGATTAGAAGGTTGGTTAAATGTGCCAAATAAACAGAATATTAAAAGGCACGGATGGAAGAAACAATATGTTGTCGTCTCTTCGAAGAAAATAATATTTTATAATAGCGAAAATGATAAATTAAATGCTGATCCAGTATTGATATTGGATTTAAATAAAGTCTTCCACGTTAGATCTGTTACCCAAGGTGATGTCATTCGAGCCGATGCCAAAGATATTCCGAGGATTTTTCAGGTAAATAAAATATTTAATAATTACATTTACAATAATTTATATATTGCACATTTAATATATATATAATTGCATTCCTTTTTTTTTTTTATTTATAGTTATTATATGCTGGCGAAGGCGAAGCAAGACGTCCTGGTGATGAAGGAAATACACTGCCTGGAGTGGAATTGCCACAACTTACTGATAAACCAGGCACACAATCATTAAAAGGTCATGAATTTGTATCAATATCGTATCATATGCCAACTACTTGTGAGGTATGTTCGAAACAATTATGGCATATGTTTCGACCACCGCCAGCTCTTGAGTGTCGACGTAAGTATGAAACAATATAAAAAATATTTCCTTTAATGAATTTTTATATGTTACTTTTTATAATCCGTTTTTTTTTAACATTGTTTGAATTTCATTTCATTTTGTATAATATAAATTATAATAATGATATAAATTGAAAATATATATGATCAATATTTACTAAAACTTATAAATATTAAAAATATTAAAAATGATTGAAATCATTAAATTTTTATACCTAATATTAATTTTTATTAATTTTCATTTTAATACTTTAATATTAAATTATTGTATTTGTATATAGGATGTCGTATAAAAGTACATAAGGAGCATTTGGACAAAAAGGAGGATGCCATAGCACCGTGTAAATTACATTACGATCCAAATAGCGCTCGCGAATTATTAATTTTGGCTGGTAGTCCTGATGAACAAAAATATTGGGTCGCAAGACTGTCTAGACGTGTACAAAAATGTGGCTACAAGGCGAACTCGCACGTCGATGGTACGGGACAGCGTGTCTCGCCAAGGTAGCGTAGCCGTGCGACTCAACGTAACTGGAGACTAAGTAGCTCTCTTATATTGTGGCATCGCATGATTGGGTGTAGCGAGGTTAGAGTCGTTTGATTTTTCTTGCACTCTCATATTTTTACAAAGAATCTTTCGGTTTTTCATCGATTATGAAAAAGACACCATTGGTAGTGTTCCGTAAGTGCATTCTATTTATAGAAATGGAAAATTGTATACGAAATACTATTATTAGTTATGCTTTAAATTGCCTTATATATATATTATATATAAATTTAGAAATATATTTCAAAAATATTTTAGATAAGCTTGTTAAATGTGTATTCATTTTCATATTCTGAAAATTTTAAATATCAACATATTTGCTTTGTTCAATATAAATATATCAAAATTACATAAATATCGTTCGATAGATCGAGTTAATATTTTTTGGTTCTTATTAATGAATGTTGAATTGTTGACTTTTGATTTTGTTTATATTAGAATGGAACATTGTTAATCAATTCAGATTATCATTTGCATGTGCTTAAATATTATTTTTATAAATATATTTTTTTACTGAAAATGATTATTTATTCACTTTATAATTTTTTAATAATTTTAAAATAGCAAACATATTTTCTAATAATTAAATGTATGATATTATCTTAATTTGTTTATCATTAGCAATAAATAAGATCAGAAATATATTAAAATTAACATAGAAATATATTTTATATAAATATTCATTATAATTTTGTTTATATTCTTTTTTTAATAATAATTAATAATTTAACAATATTTTACCATACATAAATAATTTTATAATAATCTAACAAAGAATCATAATCGATCAATCGTTCGAGATTTTTAGCAATCGAATATCTGTTGCTTTCACAAATCAAAATTATTTTTATGTCATAATAAGTGAACATAGATTTTTTCAAAAATTGCATGGTAATAATTACGACATGTAGAATAATAAAATATATTTCATATCGTGCACGGCAGATATTAGGCTTGAATATAAAGTTTACTTTTAATATCAAATTATATAGTAAACAGTTTTTTATTTAAAGATTATAAAATAAGATGTCCAAAAATTTTAAAAGTAAACTTTGTAAATATAAGTACAAATCAACAAAATTATGATAAAATTACAAATGCTTTTTCTTATCAAAATGGGGCTTTGACATTCCTACTATTTTTTATAAATAAGAACTGCTATTTTGCTTTTGAAGCTTTTATTTATTTTTTTGTTTTTTTTTTTTTTTTGTATTAGTCTTATATTCGTGATGTTTTTTGACAAATACAATATTAATGAATTTTCAAATGTTGAATTTCATTAATAACTATATATATATATTTCAGAGAATCTACGAGATCCACCTTGAAGCCATATTTATCAGTGCAACAACGATCCGCAACTCTACCAGCAAATGCCAGTATGGGCAAGTGACCTTAGCTAGCATCGATAACACTCGATTGGAATTCGTTATTTCGACGCCTTTCCTAATCGATTAATTTAAACATATAAATTCGATTAGTTGCTCAGATAAATGATTTATAATAGGATCTAAATATGTAAAAATAATTTTCGAAACTCTATGTTATCTGGATAATATTTTGAGAAATCTGGAGTTCATGTGTCTTAAAAGCATCCGATCCGAAATATATACAGAATCATGTGTTATTATCAACTTTTTAACGAGTACAAGAACATTCAACGAAATTATTCGTTGACATATTTACTTGTACTGATCGTTATTTGTAGGTACATATTTGTTAAACGAATTAAATGTGCCTTTGATATAATCTGACGATGATGGAACTCAAATGATTGAAAAAAAATTGAAGAAGTAAGGCTCATTAACAAATATCATTTGAAGAAAATTTCCAGGAAACGAGATGATTATGTAATTAATGCACAGAAATATGCAGCTGTTATTAAGACAAAATGATAATAATACTGTTTATATATAAGAGCAATGATCGTAACAAATTTGAGTACGTGGACCGCGTTTTTTAGATTTATTATATTATGAGCAAACTCATCAATTGATTTGTATAGTCTCTCTAAGAGGCCATCATCATATGTTGTTTTATAAATATTTTTTGTATGAACGAATAGATCGACTTTTTACGATGATTTATTTTTTTCATAGGCGCTTATTATGATTAATGATTTTCCTGTACATAAATTACAATTGTAAGAACTGCTTTTTCATTTGATCAAGCGGCTTGTTTATTGACTTTCGCGATCGTGAAAGAAAGGTGGATATCACGATGCTTTCGCGAAGAGAAATCGTTATTTGTGCGATATACGTGTATAATTTGTTCTGTTCCTTTATTTAAAACGCGCATTTTAAGAACTTGGTAATATTTTTGTGTATTTACTGCGCCACATCGATAGTATTATTATTTCTATGAGATTAAAGATATTTAATGACTATTATGTTAAGAAGAAAAGAAGATTTGACTCGTGCAGAAGAAAAAGGATTCGTGCGTTGTATCCAGTTGGTTAGAATAGCTGTCAAGGTTTTTTTTTTAGCATGAGAATGCATCGATAAATAATGTCGATAGTAAATATAGAATACTGAATATTGAACATTTTTTATCACGAACTTATCATAAGAAATGATACATCTTTCGAATTTTGAAATTCATGATAACATTAGAGTATCTTAAATTTTTAAATCATTAACACAAATATATTTTTAGGACCTTCGAACCTTCCAGATTTTTCAATTTTTATTTTGTTTTCTTATTTTTATATTTATCAGTGGAAAATTTGTATTTTAAATCTTTAATTCATATTTTCGAAGATTTTCAAAACATTCAAAGATCCAATAGGCGCTTTACATATTTCGTGAATCTTTGTGATCGCTGCCATGTATTAGTTAGAATATATATGCAGATTGTGATTAAACAAAAAAAAAAAGTAACAAAATGAAACTGCGAGACGAAGAGGAAAAAGGATATAAATTCTAGATTGAGCACAACGGTAAATTATTAAAGAACAGCGCCATGAACGAGCTTCATTGTATAGTAGAGATATTTAATATTTACAGTTGTAACATAAGAATTTTTTAATATGATATATGATATATTCACTATAGGTTGCTGGAAGGATCGACGAAAGGAAAAATCTAAAAAACCGCAGAATCGTATGTATAATCAAGAGAGGCTTAGAAACAATGTTTCAAAAGTCGAGTGAAAAAAATTCACATGAAAAGTGATAGGTATACAAAGTGAAGAAAAAAGGAGAAACCCTATAACGAGCTAATGAAA